ATATAGATATAGATATAGATATAGATATAGATATAGATATAGATATAGATATAGATATAGATATAGATATAGATATAGATATAGATATAGATATAGATATAGATATAGATATAGATATAGATATAGATATAGATATAGATATAGATATAGATATAGATATAGATATAGATATAGATATAGATATAGATATAGATATAGATATAGATATAGATATAGATATAGATATAGATATAGATATAGATATAGATATAGATATAGATATAGATATAGATATAGATATAATTGTGGTACATATATTTGTTTTTTATTATATATTAGTTTTGTATTATATATTCTGTGTTTATGGATTGAAACTCCCTTTTTTTGATGAAGTGAAAGTAAGAAATATGGCTGTTTATCTTTCTCTCACAGCCATGCTTTTATTTGTCAGTCACCTGATTGAGTAGCTTGATATATATGACAGTTTCGGTAGTATAAGACTGGCGGCTCCTCCCCAAGTGCTGTCTTCATTTTTGCTGATATAGTAACAATACAGAGGAAAGCTTGCTCTGATATACATTGGTTCAATAATTTGTATCTGAAATCAGTTGAAGATTACTGTAGCTTAACTTACACAACATCCATCCATCCATCCTTCCATCCATCCATCCATCCATCCATCCATCCATCCATCCATCCATCCATCCATCCATCCATCCATCCATCCATCCATCCATCCATCCATCCATCCATCCATCCATCCATCCATCCATCCATCCATCCATCCATCCATCCATCCATCCATCCATCCATCCATCCATCCATCCATCCATCCATCCATCCATCCATCCATCCATCCATCCATCCATCCATCCATCCATCCATCCATCCATCCATCCATCCATCCATCCATCCATCCATCCATCCATCCATCCATCCATCCATCCATCCATCCATCCATCCATCCATCCATCCATCCATCCATCCATCCATCCATCCATCCATCCATCCATCCATCCATCCATCCATCCATCCATCCATCCATCCATCCATCCATCCATCCATCCATCCATCCATCCATCCATCCATCCGTCCATCCGTCCATCCATCCATCCCTCCCTCCGTCCGTCCGTCCGTCCGTCCGTCCGTCCGTCCGTCCGTCCGTCCGTCCATCCATTCATCCATCCATCCATCCATCCGTCCATCCATCCTTCCATCCATCCATCAGTCCATCCATCCATTAATTAACTATTTGGGCCAACATAATTAATAAACCGAAGTTACTTATAACTTTACCGTCATTGAGTAACGTGAGGTTAAAAAGTGTCTAGTTTGTTCGTTAATGACAATCATCGTTTCGTCAAACCAATGGCTCGTTATAATCAATTCATCCTTGACCGTTCGCTGCGAACCCAAAAGAGGATCAAACCTGCTGAACACTACATATTCTGCATAGGATGCTTCCATACCAGCATAGGAGGCTAACAAAAAAATGGAATCTTCTCTGTATAAATAAATAAATAAATAAATAAATATATATATATATATATATATATATATATATATATATATATATATATATATATATATATATATATATATATATATATATATATATATATATATATATATATATATATATATATATATATATATATATAAATATATATATATATATATATATATATATATTTATATATACTTATATACATACATACATACATATATATATATATATTTATTTATATATATATATATATATATTTATATATACTTATATACATACATATATATATATATATATATATATATATATGTAACTAGGGGAAGTTACCAGACATAAGAACGCGGTACAGCGCTGTCAACTTTGACACGACTGATGTAATAACACAGGTGGTGGCTGATAACGATCAGAAAGCCAAGGCGTAGTATCTCGGGAAGCGATACGAAAGACGGTCTGTCAACTTTGATGTGACAGGATGCAGATGGCTTATTAAATCGGACTGTACAACAGAAGCGGCGTAATGCAACGATTACGATTACGAGTATGATAGGACCGAATATGATTACGGATATGAAGGGGATAAATAAGGAAGGCGACGGCTGAGCTGTCAGTCTCTCTCTCTCGCTCGCTCTCGATCAGTCAGTCAGTGTGGCAGTTGGTTATTGAACGGGTTAGCCGTATTGTGTTAAGAAGGACGTTAGACATGTGTATTCAGTTAGATGAAGCCTAGTGAGGACTGTTGGGGGTCCGTTGATTCAGACTATTATTGTGAAACATCTCTCTTGATTCATTATATTATTGTGAAGCATTCTTTGATTCATGTAATAAAAGGATCAATAATGAACCTGCATCTTCGAGTATCTATGCTGTGGTCAATGTTGTGTGGAATGAGTGGTTAGACTCGGGAAGGTCACATTTGGCGTTGTCGGCAGGGTAGCCAGAGACTCGTTACATTTGGCGTTGTCGGCAGGATAGACTCGGGGACTCGTTACATATATATATATATATATATATATATATATATATATATATATATATATATATATATATATATATATATATGTGTGTGTATATATATATATATATATATATATATATATATATATATATATATATATATATATATATATATATATATATATGCTAAAGCACATAAATATAAAAATGTATATGCACATACACATGCTCATATACATTGACATCCACATCCACGTACAGGTCCGCTTCTTGACATGGACATACAGACATAAAAACACAGATAAGCACACCCACACACACGCTCATATGCACACGAACAAGCACTTCCCGATTTAACTCACACATGAAGATATTTGTGCTGTTATTTGTGTCTAGCCTTCTCTGTAAGTTACAGGGCGCCACAATTACACCGAATGCACTGTATTTTCTTCGATCAACACCTATAAAAAAAGCTACAACACCAATGTAGATTGATTAGCACAATAAACTATGCAATACATTCATTTGGAATTAAGTTACAAAAGAAATTTCACGTGCAAGCCTGTATAAGAACTATACTTTAACAATTAATATTTACCATGGTCTGTTTCAGAAGTTTCAAAACAAAAGCCATCAAATATAAGAAACTCCTCACTGAGAAAAAAAATGATATTTGAAAGTTTGCGAGTATGCAAGTATGCAAGTATGCAAGTATGCAAGTATGCTAGTATAAAAGTATGCAAGTATGCAAGTATGCGAGTATGTAAGTATGCAAGTATGCAAGTGTGCAAGTATGCAAGTATGCGAGTATAAAAGTATGCAAGTATGTAGGTATGCAAGTATGCAAGTATGCGAGTATAAAAGTATGCAAGTATGCACGTATGCAAGTATGCAAGTATGTAAGTATGTAAGTATGCAAGTATAAAAGTATAAAAGAAGTATAAAAGAAGTATAAAAGATGTATAAAAGTATAAAAAAAACTGTACTATGTTAAAGTAGCTTACCCATTAAGCCAAGCATGAATTCGAGTGTTATAATTAGAAACAATTATATCCGAAATAAATCCATCAGTCATGACGATGAACTGGAAACCTGTTGGACTATGTTCAAAAAATTTCATTAGCGCCATGATTACAACAACTGTTTAACGATTGCCTTTTGACGGTCCAAAAGGCAGGTGAAGTAGAGTTCGCGTGTTTCAGTCACCTTATGAATGAATAGTGTGGTCGTCACTATGCCTAGACGTCTTTTTCTTTCCCCCAACGCGAGTCAAGTATTTGTTAGAGCTATGTTGATTATTTACATGAAACCCGGTATTCGAACTCGAGACTTTCGGCTCAGCTGTCGTATGGTCTACCATCCAACCATCCCGTCTCACAATACGTTAATGACATGAGTTCTGATAACGTCAAGCATGATTGTGCTTGCAAATGCTAGTGATCTTAGTTCTTCTTCTTCTTTCTTCTTCGTTCTTAATTATTAGTGTTGGAGGGGATCGCGATTTATCTGCAAGTGGGTTTGAACTCGAGACTTTGTTCACATTTATCAACAATTAGCTTTTTGCCGACTCGACCACGCCTCCAACACAATTAAGCGTTACGTGTCAACTGGTTATGCCCCATTGAGGCCATTGACTCCGATTTCAGCCTGCTTTATTTTTTGGATTTGCTTCCATAGCCTTTGTCCAACCAAGAACAAACTACAAGGCAGCAGTTGTTTAATTTTGGAGTTGTCTCTCCTAGAAGAGTGGCTGTCCCCAGCTAACGAGCCTCATCTGCCCGAGGGTTCGAACTCGAGACTTTTCGGTTTAGCAACCATGAGCTTTACCGACTCGACCACGCCGACCCCGATCTTAGTTCAAACTTACCGAAAATTTGGCACATAGGCCGCTTTGTTAAACATGGAGACAGGGGTGGCGAGGATGGAGTCGCTCCAGTACCCTGTGGTTTTGTCTACGAACACCATCGTGACGCTGAACGTCTGCATCCAATTCTGGCTTATACAGACGATGGACTTGAGTTCCTCTCTTAGAGGAAATAGAATGAGATGAAGTCAAATTCAACTGAAAACCGGGATGGCATCGGGTTGTACATTACCATACCCAGGGGTATTTTTCTTCTTCTTAATTGCACGGGGCTTCCTCTAACACAATAGGGCCGGTAAGTAGGTCACCAACCAGTTCTATGGCTCATGCAGTGTTTATTGAGCAGTAGAACTGGTTGGTGACCTACTTACCAGCCCTATTAAATATTAGATGTCTTTGTTACATGTGATATATGCCGTTGATACCAATTACAGCCCGCTTTTCTTTTTGGATTTGCTTCCATAGCCTTTGTCCAACCAAGAACAAACGACAAGGCAGCAGTTGTTTGATTTTGGAGTTTTGTCACCTAACGTGAGTTGCTTTAAACCAGCTGTCAAGTCCCATCTGCCCGGAGTTTCGAACTCAGGACTCTTCAGTTTAGCAACCATGAGCTTTAACGACCCAACCACGCTCTGGAGAGTTTTTTTTTGAACCCGTGTTAGATATTCAACCCATGTTAGATATCCAACCCGTGTTAGAGATCCAACCCATGTTAGATATACAACCCGTGTTAGATATCCAACCCATGTTAGATATTCAACCCGTGTTAGATATCCAACCCGTGTTAGATATCCAACCCATGTTAGAGATCCAACCCAATTAGATAGTCAGGCCAGTTGTATGGTAGACAATTTAAATTTGAGATTGTAGGGTCGATTACTAATGACTCTCTTCGACTCCTACAAGTACTGACTCTCATCGACTCCTACAAGTACTGACTCTCATCGACCCTTACAACTACTGACTCTGACTCCTACAACTAGGGATTTTCATCGACTCCTACAAGTACTGACTCTCTTCGACTCCTACAAGTACTAAATCTCCTCGACTCCTACAAGTACTGACTCTCTTCGACTCCTACAAGTACTGACTCTCATCGAACCTTACAAGTACTGACTCTCATCGAACCTTACAACTACTGACTCTCTTCGACTCCTACAAATAGTGACTCTCATCGACTCCTACAAGTACTGACTCTCATCGACTCCTACGACTACAGGCTTGCATCGACTCCCACAACTACACTCTTAACTATTCCTACAAGCACTGACATGCAACGACTTTGGTGTTGAAGCTTTCTAAAACTACACAAAGAAGTGGGCTTAGCGTATCAACAACTAACGTTTTATTTGTACTTCTATCACTTACGCATTCAGATCCATCTCAAACACTGCAAGCTCAAACTTTTTCACAAAGACGTGTGTAGTTGTGACCACCAACACTTTTCTGTCCCCTTCAGGCACAAATTTCTTCACTCTGAAATCTATCTGGAACGGTACCACCAACATCGTGGACATGTAAAACTCGACAACAGCGTTCTCGTATTTGGGAACACCAAGGATGTAGTAGTCGGAAAAGGTTGTCGACGCTGAATTTGAAACAAAACATACATTGGGTTTAGACAACTAGAAACTATATTGAGTTATCGTCAGCTTATATAAGGAGTAGCTAGCGGAACTTGAAAAAGTATAGATCCCTTCTTAAACGTGACGGTCCAAGGGGCAAGTGAAGTAGGGTTCGCCCTCGGTATATGAAGGGATAGTGTGGTCAGCACGATGTCCAGCCACCTTTACCTTCCCTTGAGTTAGGTACCTGTCAGTGGCGTAGCGAGGTCGGGTGTCACCCGGTGCGGCACTTAATGGTGTCGCCCCCCCCCAGAGGCATAGAGACCCTTCTCAGGGACAAACTCGATTTGCACCTCCCCCCTCAAACTTTCGATTTGCACCCCCCTCAAGTTTTCGATTTGCACCCCCCCCCCCCCCTCAAACTTTCGATTTGCACCCCCCCCCCTCGAGTTTTTCTCTATATATTTTGCTATTTTTTGCCTTGGTGTCACCCCCCTAAATGGTGTCACCCGGTGCGGTCCGCACCCCCGCCCCCCCCCTCGCTACGCCCCTGGTACCTGTCACACGTAGGGTGGACTCTACTGACTTGAACCCGAGACTTCCTGGTTAGCAGTCTAGCGGTCTACACTGGGCCACATAATTCCATTAGCCCGAAACATTTGAGATAGGGAGAGCGAGCAGGAAGTTTAAGTTTAATAAAATTGTACAAGTCCTTTTACTTGCAATTTGTATGTTTTATATAAAATGTTCTTTTCCTAATGTTGATATATATATATATATATATATATATATATATATATATATATATATATATATATATATATATATATATATATATATATATATATATATATATGTATATATATATATATATATATATAGATGTGTTCACTATAGCCGTTCACTTACATTTAAACTTGTCCTCATAGGAACACACATAGTGGCAGAGAGTTAAAATAAGGGAGGTCACCCACCACATCTGCCAAATATAATCTGGTGAATACATGTGTAAGATTAATTAAAAACATGGTAAACATTACTTTATGATTAATTTAAAATATAGTAAACATACTGTAAGATTAATTTAAATCTGGTTAACACATCTGAAAGATTGATTAAAAATCGTGTTAACATTAATGTAAGATTAATTAAAAAATATGGTAACCATAACTGTAAGTAATTGAGCATGAACGGGAAACAATTGGATTAACAATTGAATTAACAATTGGATTAACAATGGGATTAACAATGGGATTAACAATGGGATTAACAATTGGATTAACGTTAACGTTTGATAGCTAGTTAACATCGAATATTAAAACATCTCTGTTTTAAAAAGGCAGCTTTAACTTTGATGTCTCATCTTGTTATTTAATTTAATTTCCAGTCGTCTGTGGACTTGGTTTCCTAGTCCACCAAGTCTCAAGTGATACAAAAGTAATACAAAATGATACTACATTACGACAAGTTGGTTTGTGATGTCGTGACTTAGTAGAGAATACATCTTGTCAATTCAATAATTTTTGCGCTCATTTTCGGAAATTCCCACAACAATTTGTTTTTATTTTTAGCAACGATGTGGGACAACAAAAGTTTACACTGTTTCAACCTATGTTTATTTATTGTTTAGTGAATAAAGATATTAATTATATAGATCTAATAATAGATTCTATATTTTGATCCTGCACAAATAATACACAATTGAGTTTTTTTTTTTTTTTTTACAATCAGTCGGAAAATAACCTAAACAATTCAATGTCACTACTTCAAGTCATTGTGTTGATATTTATGAACATGTTTAAATAATTATCTATATATATAATTCTCTTCTGGGAGCCGTTAGAAAACAAGCTGCAATCGCCTCCTTGCAGTCCCCCCTCTTTCTCTCTATAACTATCACCCCCACCCCACCCCCACATTGTCTGGTGAGCTGTGGTCACGCTAAATTTTTACAAAGCTAAATGTTTATAAAACGTAGAGCCGTAGAGCCGGGTTTCTATTAGGGGCAGATAATTTAGTTCGATTTTAAACTTACAGGAGGTAACTAAGAAATAACTAAGAGGAGGCTGCAAATATTTTCAGTGGCAGCATTGGTACTGTCGAATTCACAAATTATGAATTACTGAAAAGTAGAAAATAAAACAACTAAATAGCGGCGTATGATACGCTGCGGGTCGGCTCGTTTTAATTATTATCTATAAATGACTGACTGCTTACATCAGTTTGAAATTCTAAAAAGTACAAGATCAAAGTGTATTACGTTAGAATTCATGAACACGGAGATACTTGTCTTTCATTAATCTTCTTGCATCTACACTTTAAAATCTAAATCATGTGTAGGATATTTCGATAATGCTAAAGCCAAGGTAGATCTAGATATTTTGGCGTTCACTATCAAGTAAAATAAGTTCACCGTTTAAAAGACGCGAAATAAGAACTATTTTTAGCAATTGAGATTAAACAAACTATTTTAAAAGTTTATAAAAAAGCGTTTAAAGATGTTTTGTGTATTTCCTTCAATATAATTTACCACTATTTATATACTTGCTAAGAAAAGCGTGGGTAGCTAGATTATTGAATGAAATGGTTTCGGAGTATTTCAAAATATGTCACATCCGATTGTATTTATATATGTTATTGACAGAATAAACTACTTATATACACATGCAGTGGAAAACACGTATTGATAAAAATGGTTAATGTTTGACCAGATTTTTTAACAAAGATTTTTTAAAGCTTTTAACTTAAGTTTTCAGACCAAATGTTTTTGATAATATTTTTTTTAACAGAAGATTTTTATCCACAGTTTTTTTTGACCAGATGTTCTATGACCTGATGTGGTTTTTCCAAATGTGGCTTATCCACAACTGGTGCTTGACCACATGTGTCCAGAGCAGTTAGGATGTTAACTGACATCAGTTCTTTAGTCTTGTTGTGACGGCTTCTCCTACCCCCCCCCCCCCCACCCTACCTCTTCCCTTGACATATCTGTTTTCCCTATAAAACGTACTGTTTTCTATATTATTGAAGGTCGGCAGTAACACACACTCTCCACTAATTTCAATAATTTTGAAAAAAAGTAATTTATTTCATATGTTCGTTACAAGTGAATGATCTAAAAACTTAATATTTTTCTTAGACAGTTCATTACAGGTGTTAGTATAGCAAGGCTAGTGATGATGTACCATCTATAAAACAAACCAACATAAGGAATATATTCTCAGGTGACGCAAGTTTCTGTGTTAAGTGTTTGAGACCAGAGGCGTAGCGACCCTTCCCGGCGCCCGGGGACAAACTTTTCGATTTGCACCCCCCCCCTCAACCTTTCGATTTGCACCCCCCTCGAGATTTTGATTTGCACCCTCCTCTCAAACTTTCTATTAGCACCCCCCTCAACCTTTCAATGTATTTTTCCAACCCATTTTGGCGCCCCCTAAGCTAGGCGCCCGGGGACATATGTCCCCCCCCCCCTCGCTACGCTAGTGTTTGAGACAGGGGAAGTAATTCGTGTAACACTGGTTGAGTAGTTACAGAGAATAAATCAAAAACAAGAAATCATCAGCATAGTTAATGATCAATCTTTATTAATTACCCTAATTAAACTAATTAAATTTTCGTGTGTTAAGAACGAACTCTTTAGAAGACACACGTTTGACTGTTATTATTTCCAGAGGCTCGTCATTTTTCTTTCTAAAATACAAATATTTTGGTTCATTTAGTTTATATATAAATAAATATATATATATATATATATATATATATATATATATATATATATATATATATATATATATATATATATATATTTATATGTATGTATATATATAAATAAATAATGATAAATAATAATAAATAAATATATATATATATATAGATATATACATATATATACACAAGAATATAATTGAATATATATATATATATATATGTATGTATATATATATATATATATATATATATATATATATATATATATATATATATATATATATATATATATATATATATATATATATATATATATATACATATATATACAAGAATATAATTGAATATATATATATATATATATATGTTTACATGTATATATATATATATAAGAATATATATTAGATTATATATATACAATACTTGTTATAGAAGATGAGGTAAAGAAATCCACACAGTACTACAAAAATCACAACATAGTAGGTGATCATTATTGACTTGACATCCACGGCTGTAAAATAAAATGTAAGTTTTTTTTTTTTTTAAATTACATTTTTTATTACATTTATATAACGAGTTTTACTTTTTCCCCCTTGCTACTTATAATGTTACCTTGGTGGCAATACCCGTACACCCTGTCAATGCAGTCTTTGCCGTTACATTTTTGACTGCAAGAATGTTGACATTCAAAACCATATGTCATTGGCGGACATGCTGTAAAAAATAAATAGTTCACGTATTTGAAAAAACGCAATTGAATACAATTTGAAAATGTTTAATTTACATGTGCTAGAAAATTAATTGTAATAAATTAACTTTGCTCACACTTATACAAATCTTGACTATTTTAAAAACACAACTGAAAAATGTCCATCTGTTTACTCACATCACAATACACGTTACAATTCACCCACATTAAAATGTTTACATGAAATTGTACATTTACCTACCCACATCACAAGAAAATTAACATCACTCCAAAGTAAAACATTGTGATGAAAATGTCAGTCTACTTATCCACATCACAAAACACGTAATAATTCACCCACGTTAAAATGTTTACATGAAATTTTCCATTTACCTATCCACATCGTTGAAATTATCATCACCCCAAAGTAAAACATCGTGATGAAAATGTTAGTCTACTTATCCACATCACAGGAAATTAACATCACCCCCAAGTAAAACATCGTGATGAAAATGTTAGTCTACTTATCCACATCACAGGAAATTAACATCACCCCCAAAGTAAAACTTCGTGATGAAAATGTCCGTCTACTTATCCACATCTCAGAAACTTAACATTGCTCCTCAACTTAAATCATTAGCATGAAAACAAACATTCTACCTATCAGCAGTGGCGAAGCGAGGTCGGTGTCACCAGGTGCGGCACTTAATGGTGTTACCCTCCAGTGGCGTAGCGACCCTTCCCGGGGACAAACTTTCAATTTTTGACTTGCCCCCCCCCCTCCTCAAACTTTCGATTGCACACCCCCTCAAACTTTCGATTTTGCACCTCTTAAAAGACTATTTAACACTCGAATTAATCACTTAATTAAGTGAAATTATCATTTTTATCTATATATTTTCCAATTTTTTACCTTGGTGTCACCCCCCTAAATAGTGTCACCCCCCTAAATGGTGTCACCCGGTGCGGTCCGCACCCCCGCCCCCCCCCCCACTCGCTACGACTCTGCCTATCAACATCACAATCACACCCACATGAAAATATCAGTCTACCTACCAGCATCACAATAACACCTACATGAAAACCTACAACCTACTTACCTACATGACAGTATAAACCTATCCACCCAGGTTTACAAAACTGACAAGATCCATCCCGCTTATTACAATCCCCTCCACAATTTTGACATTGAAGTTCGCAGTTTATCCCATAGTAGCCATCAGGGCACAGAACTTAAGAAAATTTCGCAAAACAAAATCAAAATATAAACACAAAAATATTTTAAAATAATTCAATACCCTAACACAGTGAGTGGAACCCCCAGGGAAAGCGGAAGAGAGGGCGCCCAAGACAGACCTGGAGGCGGAGTCTTCTTGAAGAACTGAAGCCAACAGGGATGTCTTGGGAGATGGCAAAATTAATAGCCGAGGATCGGATGAAATGGAAGGAAATGGTTGAGGCCCTATGTTCCATAAGGAGCAGACAGGACTGAGTCTAGTCTAACACAGTGGCTCTTAAACAGTTTTTGGACGTACCGAATCCCTACAGCATCATAATCGCATTTACCGAACCCTTATTAATAGAAATAAAAATTATTTTTTTGGTCAAATTCAAAACATAAGTAAGCCTATATGTTTTTATTGTTGCACAAAATGAACCGTGCATAAACATTTCTGTGTTTAAAGAACAGAAACATAATGATAGACGTTAGCTGCAAATCAGTCCGAGTGCTGTTGCCTTTCAGACACCAGTTTAGAAATGCGCTGCTTCACTTTGAATTCAGCGAGCATTTTGTTCTTGTATTTCCCATCTCCATGCAGCTCAAGGAATTTTTCTCTTAATTTAGCCGGTGCTAGACAATAATTGCTCAACGTGGCATTGCAAATTACGCAGTCAGGACACTTTCTCCTATATAGTTCCATTATATACGTGAATCCGTATTGTATATAATCGTCCAACCCCTTCACATTTTTTGTTCGACATAGTAAAATGGTTTTAAAATATTAAGAAAGAATTCACGCAACGTACCATCACGACAGTAACAAATCGACTACTGTTACACGATATGAGAATAAAAAGAATATTCGCCACAGTACGTATATAAACTATCAACGCGCGCCTGTATAGGTGGCGTTGACACGATTCGTCACGTATCCCCGATATAGAAATATGATACCGGAACTTGTTATCTCGCTCAGGCGCACTTTATTACTATGTCGCGCTGTCTTCTTCTTCTTCTTCTTCTTCGTTCTTAATTTTTAGTGTTGGGAGGGTTCGAGCCTTATCTGCCAGAGGGTTTGAATTCGAGACTTTTTTCGAATGTATCAACCATGAGCTTTGCCGACTCAACCATGCTTCCATCACAATTAAGGATTACGTGTCAACTGGTTATGCGCCATTGAGGCCATTGACTCCGATTTCAGCCTGCTTTTCTTTTTGGATTTGCTTGCATAGCCTTTGTCCAACCAAGAACAAACTACAAGGGAGCAGTTGTTTGATTTTGGAGTTGTCTCTCCTAGAAGAGTGGCTGTCCCCAGCTAACGAGCCTGTCGCGCTATCAATTTTGATCTGTAATCGGCCGCGGCCTCTAGTTTTATCATCCGCACCGACAAAATCGGATCGCAAATTATGTGAATCGGGTGTTTGTCTTGACCTCCACCGAACACCTGAGACTGACTCACCGAATCCCTGGGGTTCGATCTAAACCAGGTTTAGAACACCCCCACCCCGACCCCCCCCCCCCAGATTTACCTGTGTCACATTGTTGTCCACCGCAAACTGTGTCTTTTACCTCAAGGTCATGACCTTGGCATTGGCTTCCTTCAAACAGAGGTGAAGGCCGAGAGCAGGTTCTCCTAAAACTCAGACAAGGTGAAAAAATATGAAACCAAACACACCAACAGTGCTAGTATGACAGTGTAACAAAAATAGCTTTTGATGATTTCATTAACAGTCAAAATGTGAACTATTGTTGGATAGTGTATGTTTTGTGTTTACTGTCTACAAACTGAACTATTGTTGAATGTTGTATGTTTTCTGTATACTGTCTACAAACTGAACTATTGTTGAATGTTGTATGTTGTATGTTTTCTGTATAATATTAACAAACTGAACTATTGTTGAATGTTGTATGTTTTGTATGTACGTTCAACAAACTGAACTATTGTTGAATGTTGTATGTTTTCTGTATACTGTCTACAAACTGAACTATTGTTGAATGTTGTATGTTTTCTGTATACTATTAACAAACTGAACTATTGTTGAATGTTGTATGTTATAAGACCGAGTACCCAAGCTGGTTTGGCATAGTAAAGTGCCATTTCGAACATGTTTCTGTTCTGTGACCTCGGCATATAAATGGCCAGAACTATGTCCGGCCGCATTTAACTTGACTAAATTTTCCTGGCTAATTATTTTTTTATGTTTTTTTTTGGAATAGTTACTGAGCGAATCGGGCTGATTAGATTCTGAGATTAATTTAAAAATTCAAAAGAAAAAAAGTCACAAAATATTTTGGCGAACAAGAGAAATTTAAAAAAGGCTTTGTTTTAAAATATTTTGGCCAAAAATGTTTTTTTTTTTTTTAAAACGGGATAGCTTAAAATATTTTGGCCAACAAGAGAAATTTAAAAAGGGGATATTATTAAAATATTTTGGCCAACAAATAAAATATTTTGGCCAACAAATAAAATATTTTGGCGGACAAACCTTCTTTCAAAGTAGCTCAAGCTACACATATCCTGGCAAGCCCAAGTATTCCACTGTCCCCATCTTCCGTGTACTATGTCAAAAACAAAAATTGTAAACAATCACATAGTATTTTAACGACATACATAGTTTAGATTATGTTTTTTTTTCTATCTAAACCGAGTACCTGCTGTTTCTCTACGGAGGTCTTCAGAGTTTTGATTGTCATGATCAACGTCCTTATCTGTTCAATATTAACAAAAATGTTAAATGTTAACAAACAGTTACATAAGAAAATCGATATAAACTTTACTCGCTAACTCTTTTCAATTAAATTTATAACTAACGAAACATAAAGACACATACATACTTAGTATAAAACCAAAACAGTTCTGTTTTAGTATGTAATAAACCGGGAGTGATCTCCCCTAAACTTTCTCGAATATTCTTATATAAACAACAGGGGATGGGAACTCGGGCTATAGACATGATTTTTAATCCATTTTAAATACTTAAAGTTTTTAAAATAGAATAAAATCTCGTAGACAAAAAAATTGCACACCAAGCGAACGCCAAATAAAAAAGTGCATAATAGTGCGCAATATTATTAGTACTTCAAAAATTTACATTAGTTTTTTGAGAAATCGGAAGTAGCGTAAATTACTACTTCCGGTCAACGGAAATTACTCAAAATTTAACAGAAGGTAGAGAATTAAATCTTTTACTTACATGTGAAATTTCATTTATCTATCTGAAATAGTACTCAAGTTATAGGCTTTTGAAAACTTCAAAGTAGAAAAAGTACCACTTCGGGTTATCAGAAATCTCTCAAAAGTTGATACGGATCTACGATTTTGATAAAATACTTATATATGAAATTTCATCAACCTAGCTGTAACGGTACTCAAGTTATCGTGTTTACACACGGACAGACAGACAGACAGACACACACACAGACACACAGACATACGGACAGAATTGCAAAGCCCAGTATTTCTGACTGGATTACGCATAAAACCTCTTAATTTTGATAAATCTGGATTGATAATTTTTGCCCGATTAAAATAAGTCCTCTATATTTCGGATGTGATGAAGGACTGAGGTGTAATACGGTGAAAATTGTTAAAATTTCAAGTGATTTTTGTGCACGATTACAATACTTTCTCTATACATCGTATATACGAGGAAGTAAAAAATGGCAGTCGAAAACCAGGTAAATATCTCAAACTCCAATCTAAATTTAGATTTAATTGTTTATAAAACATTTACAGTTTTAGAAATACCTGGCGTACTACGTACAACAGAAGGTAAGTATATCAATAAACAGATTTTAAAATTTTAAAAATTTAAATAAACGATGATACGTTCCGATCAATCTTTGAATCCTAAGGTTACTAGGGGGTCATCCATAAATGACGTCACGTTTTTTTGTGACGATTTTTACCTCCCCCCTCTTCTCCGTCACACATCGTCACAAAAAGCCAGACACCCCCCCTTAAAATGACGTCACACCTCAGTCTACAACCCCCCTTAAAATTGATGTTGAGTTTTTTTTAAAACATCGATATTTTCCCAAAAACTTGTCAGAACTCTGCCAACATAGAGTATTTTGGTCAATTCCTATTACAATTTATTAAAACCATTTTCTAAAATGCGAAATAACGGCTAAAACTCGTTTTTTAACCCTGCTTTTTTATGATGCAAAAAATTGACCTCACACCATCTGAACCCCCCCCCCCCCCTTCTCCTCGTCACACACCGTCACAAAATTACGGACCCCCTCCCTCCCCCCTACTAGTGTGACGTCATTTATGGACGACCCCCTAGTAAACCAGGACTTTAATGTATCCATGCATTCATATTTTACCCAACAATTCTTCATCAACGGAACCATCTTCATCATTATCGACCAAGTCTCCAGGAAACATTGGGCCGTATTCAACATCCTGAGAAGGAATTTATACTCCAAGTTTATGCCGTAAACCATCTCTAACAAGATACACATCAAAATACATTTATATCCAACATCATAGAAAATAAATCATAGAACATTGTTCATTAGCAGAGGCGTAGCGAGGGAGAGGGCTGGGAGGTGCGTACCGCACCGGGTGACACCATTTAGGGAGGAGACACCATGGAAAAATGAACAGAAGAAAAATGCTTTTAGCCAGTTCCATTAATGATTAATTATGCGGCATATATTTAAATGATAAGCATATGTAGGCCGACACACACATAAACACACACACACAAACACACACACATATATATATATATATATATATATATATATATATATATACTTTGCTTCTTGGGGGGGGGGAGGGAGGGGAGACTGACACCATGAAGTGTCGTACCGGGTGACACCCGACCTAGCGACGCCACTGTTCTTTTGTATGGTGCTACAGTTTTAAAAATACATCTAAATAAAAGTATTTGCCTCAGGACGATCTTCTCGTGACGTGTCATAGAATCCAGCAGGATGGAAGTAAGTGCCGAAGTCTTTCCTACCAAACAGGTAGAGGCCGTAGTTAGAGACGTCTTCAGAATAGGAGTAATGGAGTCCATTAGAGATTTGCAGGTATCTCACTTGGTACTTTTTTGTCCCATCTACCTTGGTGACGGTTGTACTTAGGAAAGATGGCAGAATTTATCAACAACGCCAAAAGTTAGACAAAAATGATCACTACTTTTGTAATATATATATATATATATATATATATATATATATATATATATATATATATATATATATATATATATATATATATATATATGTAATATATATATATATATATATGTAATATATATATATATATATATATATATATATATCTAATATATAAAGCTCAGTTCTGTATGTAACGCATATGTTTGTCGTTGGTCTTGGATTGATTTAAGTGTTAGACAATTATCGTGCGCGTTTGTCTAAATTTATGAGTTAAAAAATTACTATTGAAAGTGTTGGGAAATAATTTTCATTTTTCAAATTATAGTAATAATTGTCGGCATGTTCATTAAACACAAGTTTTAAAAAAATATCATCTTTTAAAAAAATTCTAATTATGTCTTTATTTAGTCCTATAGCACTTACTTCCCTTTGATAAATTAGGAAAACACAATTACTTCCCTTTATAAAACCATTGCATTTTGTTGAAAAGAATTTACTTTTTAATTACTTTGTTTTGGTGTTGGGAAAAAATAATAATTACATAATTAGCGGGGATTGATCAAGTGCAAATGTTGTAGGTATTTTACGGATAAGCTTGGAGTATTATAATTGTTCATCAAATTGAAACAGGCGCGTTCGTTTAAGTGAGTGCAAAAGACTATGAATAAGTTGGGGTACTATAGTCGTTCATTAAGCTAAAACAGGTGATTCCGCCCCGGGCGTTTATGTTCGCGTTAGTGTTTTCTTTGTGTTTAGGTGGGTTTGCGTTAGTGGTTGCGTTTTGATTAGGTTCGTTTTTGTTCTTTATTTTTTCGTTTTTGTTTGTGTTTTTTTTTTTTTTTTTTGTGTTTTTGGTTGGTTTTGCGTTTGGATTTGGTTTGTTTTCGTTTGCTTTTTCGTTGTTTTTTTTTTGTTGGTATTGGTGTTTTTGGTTGAGTTTGTTGTTAGGTTTTTGTTTTCGTTTGCTTTTTTGTTTGTTTTTTCTTTGTGTTTGTATTGGTGTTTGTGGTTGTGGTTGGGTTTGTTGTTAGGTTTTTGTTTTTGTTTGTATTTGTAATTGTGTTAGCGTTATGTTTGCGTTTTGTTGTTTTGGTTGGTTGTGGTTTGGGTGGGCAATGTCGGGTTTATGATGATTACTAAACACACAGGTAATGGTCTTTAACAGAAAGGTTTTTCACAGAAGCAAGAGCAGGGCCTGGCCGGGACGGCTAGTATATATATATAGGCTTATATATATATATAATACATATTTAAATATTTAGGCCTCAATACTTTAATTTTTAAGTTCGCCTATTTAAATATATATATATATATATATATATATATATATATATATATATATATATATATATATATATATATATATATATATATATATATATATATATCGATCAAACATTGTAATATATTAGCTGAACGAATGTAGCAAATCTAATTAATATGAGTTCTATAAATCCCAGAGACACATGAAAATAATTGACAACAATATCGAATTAAAATTAATACAGTCCTACGTTTTATTGAGACCTACTCAAAATCCATTAGGTAAATTTCATCCATTAATATCATGGGAAATTGATCGTCCGTAACAACGAAGATGAGAAATGCTGTACCAGCCGACCGTGAGGAATTGTAAGGAAAAGGAACACTGGAAAAAAACAAGAGCAAGAAATACGTATATGGTTACAAAAACAAATGTATTCGTGTACATTTATATATGTATATATATATATATATATATATATATATATATATATATATATATATATATATATATATATATATATATATATATATATATATATATATAACCAGAATGTCTCGAGTTTGAATCCAGATTCAAGTCAGTACAACGTTCCTGAGTCTACCCATCTCTGATGGATACTTAAAGTAAAGGTAGGTGGGCATGGTGCTGACAATACTATTTCTTCATATCGCGAGCACACAGAAACAGATGAACTCTACTTCACTTGCCCTATACATCGTCAGGACTTAGCTGAATCGACCGTCTTTATTTAACTGTTGTAATATGACAAGATAAACCTTATTAGGTTGGGTTTTTTTAAAAATACAGATGATGGGAATAATTACTTTATTAAAAAGCGTTTAACTAACTATACATGATTACATGATTTTTATTTACGGCACAAGCCTCATTGAATTAATACATCTTTTTTATCTAATTAAACATGGATGGCTTTATCACATTTTCTAGGTAAAATTATTGACATGATTAACTATTTCAAATCCTAATAATTAATTTTTACACGAATATAAATCTGTAAAGATTACTAAAGAATGGAATGACACACTACCTAGCGGCGCATATCATCAATAAGGGATTTAACCCAATACTTTTACTGAACACTACCTGATAGCGTAGCTGAAGATGAATAACTCATTAGGTAGGACCAGGCTTGATGACATTCCCCAGGTACAGTCCTTACTTTTGCTAACATAGTAGCATACAACTGGAAGATTGGCATGGAGGTGCAACGGCCTATCGTTCTGTATTTTTAGCTGAAACAAATTCAAAGGATTTTAATTTGTTGAGGGTTTATAAATTTTTTTAAAAAAAGGAATGATGTGATTAAATGGTAATGCTAATTCCTATGTTTCATCTAAGCTGCGCAGTAGTTTTGAACCTACCGCACAGTTGTTTTGTTAAATACATATATCTTTGTCTAAGACTTTTAGAACACCGCGCAAAGAAAATAAACGACGCACACTGGTTTTTTTCCCCTTAGATGGAACGTTGGAGCCTAGTTCAGTGGTTGATTTGAGAGGAACAACAGGGCTGGCAAATAGGTCATCAACCGGCTCAATAAAACCTGCATGAGCCATAGAACTGGTTGGTGACCTACTTAGTAACTTACCAGCCCTATTTACAAGGTAGTAATATTTTTGCTATGTTGTAATATCACAAAGTATATTAGTATGCAGTAAAGTTTAGGCCATTTTGGTTATTGTGGTTTAAATATTACTTTGCATTATTGCATCACAAAGTATATTAGCATACAGTAAATTTTAGGCTATTATAGAGTCGAATATAATCGCTCATCATGTTGTTAAGGTTGGAATACTACTTTGTATTGCAGCATACATAATATTACTTTGTATTGCAGCATACATAATATTACTTTGTATTGCAGCATACATAATATTACTTTGTATTGCAACATACATAATATTACTTTGTATTGCAGCATACATAATATTACTTTGTATTGTAGCATACATAATATTACTTTGTATTGCAGCATACATAATATTACTTTGTATTGCAGCATACATAATATTACTTTGTATTGCAGCATACATAATATTACTTTGTATTGCAACATACATAATATTACTTTGTATTGCAGCATACATAATATTACTTTGTATTGTAGCATAAACTAAACATCTGGCTATAGTGTCATCAAGTAAAGTACACAGACGGAAATATTGCAATAATACTACTGAGCAGATTAGCTTAAGTTGATGCTCTCTCTATAATATCATAGTGTAAGTAACTTACTATGATATTTTGGCCACATTATTATTGCGTTAATTAGCACATTTTGATATTCTTGCTATGAATAGTAGCATAGTAGCAATTCGTGATTTTCTGTTATAATACTACTGGGTAGCAAAAATTCGATATTCTGATTATACGATTACACAGCAGAGTGGCATTCGTGATATTTTGACTGTAACAGTGGCGTAGGCAAGAGGGGGGGGGGGTGAGGGGGGGGGTTATAACCCCTTCCATGAACCCCTATATATATATATATATATATATATATATATATATATATATATATATATATATATATATATATATATATATATATATAGAGAGAGAGAGAGAGAGAGAGAGAGAGAGAGAGAGAGAGAGAGAAAGAGGATTGTATACATATGGACAAATGTTTGAACCCCTCCCATGACCAATTCCTGGCTACGCCACTGGACTGTAATATATTCGGATAATTATTGCCGCCAGCATTGTCATTAATGTGGCCAAAATTGTCATTCATAAGGCCAATATTCACATTCATATGGCCAATATTCACATTCATATGGCCAATATTCACATTCATAAGGCCAGTATTCACATTCATATGGCCAGTATTCACATTCATATGGCGAACATTCATATGACCAATATTTACAATCAAATGGCCAATATTACATCCATTTGGCCAATATTCACATTCGTATGAACTGTATTGCAATAATATAGCTACCAATCCCATTGTTTCAGCCAGATTAGAAATTACCGTGCAAAAAATAAATAATACATTTTAATGCACAGTAACACCGCTTTTACACTTGCGACAAGTATACTATACATGTATACTACACATGTATATTATACATGTATACGATACATGTATACTTTACACGTCTAGAATAAACAACTTCGTCATAAGTTAATTGTATCAGAACATGATAGGTGGGCTACTCGCTTAATGCGAAATAAAATTTCTAGACATGTATAGTATACATGCTAGACAAGTATAGTAAACATGTCGCAAGTGTAAAAGCGATGTAGGACTTCTCCTGTGAAGAGACTGTGTTACTGATTCTGGCCTTGACTAAAATCATGTATACCGTTAGCATGTAACCAGGCCCTGACTAAAATCATGTATACCGTTAGCATGTAACCAGGCCCTGACTAAAATCATGTATACCGTTAGCATGTAACCAGGCCCTGACTAAAATCATGTATACCGTTAGCATGTAACCAGGCCCTGACTAAAATCATGTATACCGTTAGCATGTAACCAGGCCCTGACTAAAATCATGTATACCGTTAGCATGTAACCAGGCCCTGACTAAAATCATGTATACCGTTAGCATGTAACCAGGCCCTGACTAAAATCATGTATACCGTTAGCATGTAACCAGGCCATGACTAAAATCATGTATACCGTTAGCATGTAACCAGGCCATGACTAAAAGCATGTATACCGTTAGCATGTAACCAGGCCCTGACTAAAATCATGTATACCGTTAGCATGTAACCAGGCACTGACTAAAATCATGTATACCGTTAGCATATAACCAGACCCTGACTAAAATCATGTATACCGTTAGCATGTAACCAGACCCTCACTAAAATCATGTATACCGTTAGGATGTAACCAGACCCTGACTAAAATCATGTATACCGTTAGCATGTAATAAGGTCCATCTAAGAACAGTTCGGTCTCGTCATTGATGGTGATAATCACAAAATAGGAATCCGAATTCATGATCCTCAGTTCATCATGGGCGTCGTGTTGGGGGTCAAGTAGAGGGTTAAGTCTACTGAATACGATGAACTCGCAATCCAATATTGGCGGCAAAATGGTCGAGGCTATGAAAATAATGTAATGGTTTGAACGATTGCTTTATGAGGAGAGTTTCTTTTTAAATATTTTGCTCCAAGCTATGAGGGAGGGGAGGGATGGACACTGGTATATATTTTCTTGCTATTTGTTTTTCCTGTTTTTAGTGTGTGTGTGTGGGGGGGGGGGAGTGGGCACTGGCTATAATATGTATTTTCTTGCTATTTGTTTTTCCTGTTTTAGTGTGTGTGGGGGGGGGGGGGGAGTGGGCACTGGCTATAATATGTATTTTCTTGCTATTTGTTTTTCCTGTTTTTAGTGTGTGTGTGTGGGGGGGGGGGGGGGGAGTGGGCACTGGCTATAATATGTATTTTCTTGCTATTTGTTTTTCCTGTTTTAGTGTGTGTGGGGGGGGGGGGGGAGTGGGCACTGGCTATAATATGTATTTTCTTGCTATTTGTTTTTCCTGTTTTAGTGTGTGTGGGGGGGGGGGGGAGTGGGCACTGGCTATAATATGTATTTTCTTGCTATTTGTTTTTCCTGTTTTAGTGTGTGTGGGGGGGGGGGGGGGAAGTGGGCACTGGCTATAATATGTATTTTCTTGCTATTTGTTTTTCCTGTTTTAGTGTGTGTGGGGGGGGGGGGGAAGTGGGCACTGGCTATAATATGTATTTTCTTGATATTTGTTTTTCCTGTTTTAGTGTGTGTGTGGGGGGGGGGGGGAGTGGGCACTGGCTATAATATGTATTTTCTTGCTATTTGTTTTTCCTGTTTTAGTGTGTGTGGGGGGGGGGGGGGGAGTGGGCACTGGCTATAATATGTATTTTCTTGCTATTTGTTTTTCCTGTTTTAGTGTGTGTGGGGGGGGGGGGGAAGTGGGCACTGGCTATAATATGTATTTTCTTGCTATTTGTTTTTCCTGTTTTAGTGTGTGGGGGGGGGGGGGAAGTGGGCACTGGCTATAATATGTATTTTCTTGCTATTTGTTTTTCCTGTTTTAGTGTGTGTGGGGGGGGGGGGGGGGAAGTGGGCACTGGCTATAATATGTATTTTCTTGCTATTTGTTTTTCCTGTTTTTAGTGTGTGTGGGGGGGGGGGGAAGTGGGCACTGGGTATAATATATATTTTCTTGCTATTTGTTTTTCCCGTTTTTAGTGTGTGTGTGGGGGGGGGGGGAGTGGGCACTGGCTATAATATATATTTGCTAAATAATTTTTTTTTGTTTTGTCTTTGGGGGGGGGGGGGAGGACATTAGCAAAAATATATTTTCTAATAAATTTTTTTTTCTGCTTTGTCTGTGTATAGGGGATGAAACGTGTTAAAATATATATCTAAAAAGTTCGTATATATTTTTTTAATTTCTTCCAGGATGGTTGGGGGGGGGGGGGGGGGGGTGGTACCAGTAGGTGGTCACTTACCCACGGAGTTATTCTTGAAAGAAAAACATCGTTTATTATAAGCTCAAAATTAAAAAAAAGAATAAAGCGACTATTAAGAAACACGCAGAAACACCGTTTATTATAAGCTCAAAATAAAAAAAAAAGAATAAAGCGACTATTAAGAAACACGCAGAAACACCGTTTATTATAAGCTCAAAATAAAAAAAAAAGAATAAAGCCACTATTAAGAAACACGCAGAAACACCGTTTATTATAAGCTCAAAATTAAAAAAAAAAAAGAATAAAGCGACTATTAAGAAACACGCAGAAACACCGTTTATTATAAGCTCAAAATAAAAAAAAATATAAAGCGACTATTAAGAAACACGCAGAAACACCGTTTATTATAAGCTCAAAATAAAAAAAATATAAAGCGACTATTAAGAAACACGTAGATATTGTCTCACCTACAAACCCGAGTTCCTTGTTGTCGCAATCAAACATAGTTTCTTGGTGGCATGAGGTAATCATAACACCAACAGGTTCATCAGCATGCATAAAAGCACCTTTTAGGAGAAGATTGATTGCGATTTAATATGGCTAACCTTTTAGGAGAAGATTGCTTGCGATTTAATATGGCTAGCCTTTTAGGAGAGGATTGCTTGCGATTTAATATGGCTAGCCTTTTAGGAGAAGATTGCTTGCGATTTAATATGGCTAGCCTTTTAGGAGAGGATTGCTTGCGATTTAATATGGCTAGCCTTTTAGGAGAAGATTGCTTGCGATTTAATATGGCTAGCCTTTTAGGAGAGGATTGCTTGCGATTTAATATGGCTAGCCTTTTAGGAGAAGATTGCTTGCGATTTAATATGGCTAGCCTTTTAGGAGAAGATTGCTTGCGATTTAATATGGCTAGCCTTTTAGGAGAAGATTGCTTGCGATTTAATATGGCTAGCCTTTTAGGAGAAGATTGATTGCGATTTAATATGGCTAGCCTTTTAGGAGAAGATTGCTTGCGATTTAATATGGCTAGCCTTTTAGGAGAAGATTGCTTGCGATTTAATATGGCTAGCCTTTTAGGAGAAGATTGCTTGCGATTTAATATGGCTAGCCTTTTAGGAGAGGATTGATTGCGATTTAATATGGCTAGCCTTTTAGGAGAGGATTGATTGCGATTTAATATGGCTAGCCTTTTAGGAGAGGATTGATTGCGATTTAATATGGCTAGCCTTTTAGGAGAAGATTAGGTATCCTTAGGTATCCATCAGAGTAGGATGGACTCACGATATATCTGACTGACCATATTTTCAGTTGGTAAACACGTAGAATATATTCACGATTTTATTAGCCTAGCGTTAGAGAGCTAGACTGCTAACCCAAGAGTCTCGAGTTCCAATCCGGGTTGGTCCGTAGAACGTCGCTGTGCCCACCCAGCTTTGATGGGTACCAAACTCATTTAGGGAAATCAGACGATACTAGTTTAAAAGTATATTTACCGAAGCGGTTATATACATCAGCTATTTCACAGAAGGAAAAATATGCAGCTCTTCCACTGAATTTGGAAAAGAAAACGAAAAAAAAAAGCGTAATTAGTGCATAGCCGTATTTGAAATAAAAATTTTAAGACAAAACAAAAATAACTTGATTGGTAGGTTTTTTTACTTTTAATATATTAGTTGCTGGTTTTTTATACTACGATTTATTATAATTAAAATCAAGTAGTAATGGCTGGTATATTTAAAATGATACTTTGGTCAGCAGAAAATCTAGCAGTTTACAAATTTTACAAACTTTTTAACGTTTTAGACTTTATCTACATGGTATAGTCGGTCTCCATCCAAATGCTAATGTTTATCCATAAATCGGATTTGGGATCGACATGCATAGAATATTGCATAGTGGTTTCTTTCAGACATTTTTCTTCGGTGAGATGGGGGGGGGGCGGAATATTTGAAACTTTCGTAACGCGTTTTTTGTATTTATGGGGGAGGGGGCGGGGGCGGACATTGTTTAAGTGTACCTTTCTTTTTTCTATATATTTTGACATTCAAGAAAAGCCTGAAAGAAACCCCAATCTTGCTTTAACAAGAGTGATCTGGAGACCTAAGTCAGAGAATGGGATGATCAGTGGTCAAACACTCCGCCTAGATAGACGACCAGTGGTCAAACACTTAGCGCAGATAGACGACCAGTGGTCAAACACTCCGCCTAGATAGACGACCAGTGGTCAAACACTCAGCGCAGATAGACGACCAGTGGTCAAACACTCCGCCTAGATAGACGAACAGTGGTCAAACACTCCGCCTAGATAGACGACCAGTGGTCAAACACTTAGCGCAGATAGACGACCAGTGGTCAAACACTCAGCGCAGATAGACGACCAGTGGTCAAACACTGCGCCTAGATAGACGAACAGTGGTCAAACACTCCGCCCAGATAGACGACCAGTGGTCAAACACTCCGCCTAGATAGACGAACAGTGGTCAAACACTCCGCCTAGATAGACGACCAGTGGTCAAACACTTAGCGCAGATAGACGACCAGTGGTCAAACACTCCGCCTAGATAGACGACCAGTGGTCAAACACTTAGCGCAGATAGACGACCAGTGGTCAAACACTCCGCCTAGATAGACGACCAGTGGTCAAACACTCCGCCTAGATAGACGACCAGTGGTCAAACACTTAGCGCAGATAGACGACCAGTGGTCAAACACTCCGCCTAGATAGACGACCAGTGGTCAAACACTCCGCCTAGATAGACGACCAGTGGTCAAACACTTAGCGCAGATAGACGACCAGTGGTCAAACACTTAGCGCAGATAGACGACCAGTGGTCAAACACTCAGCGCAGATAGACGACCAGTGGTCAAACACTCCGCCTAGATAGACGACCAGTGGTCAAACACTCCGCCTAGATAGACGACCAGTGGTCAAACACTTAGCGCAGATAGACGACCAGTGGTCAAACACTTAGCGCAGATAGACGACCAGTGGTCAAACACTCAGCGCAGATAGACGACCAGTGGTCAAACACTCCGCCTAGATAGACGACCTGTGGTCAAACACTCCGCCTAGATAGACGACCAGTGGTCAAACACTTAGCGCAGATAGACGACCAGTGGTCAAACACTTAGCTCAGATAGACGACCATTGGTCAATCACTCCGCCTAGATAGACGACCAGTGGTCAAACACTTAGCGCAGATAGACGACCATTGGTCAAACACTCCGCCTAGATAGACGACCAGTGGTCAAACACTTAGCGCAGATAGACGACCATTGGTCAAACACTCCGCCTAGATAGACGACCAGTGGTCAAACACTTAGCGCAGATAGACGACCATTGGTCAAACACTCCGCCTAGATAGACGACCAGTGGTCAAACACTTAGCGCAGATAGACGACCAGTGGTCAAACACTCCGCCTAGATAGACGACCAGTGGTCAAACACTTCGCCTAGATAGACGACCTGTGGTCAAACACTCCGCCTAGATAGACGACCAGTGGTCAAACACTCCGCCTAGATAGACGACCAGTGGTCAAACACTTAGCGCAGATAGACGACCAGTGGTCAAACACTCCGCCTAGATAGACGACCAGTGGTCAAACACTCCGCCTAGATAGACGACCAGTGGTCAAACACTTAGCGCAGATAGACGACCAGTGGTCAAACACTCCGCCTAGATAGACGACCAGTGGTCAAACACTGCGCCTAGATAGACGACCAGTGGTCAAACACTTAGCGCAGATAGACGACCAGTGGTCAAACACTCCGCCTAGATAGACGACCAGTGGTCAAACACTCCGCCTAGATAGACGACCAGTGGTCAAACACTTAGCGCAGATAGACGACCAGTGGTCAAACACTTAGCGCAGATAGACGACCAGTGGTCAAACACTCAGCGCAGATAGACGACCAGTGGTCAAACACTCCGCCTAGATAGACGACCAGTGGTCAAACACTCCGCCTAGATAGACGACCAGTGGTCAAACACTTAGCGCAGATAGACGACCAGTGGTCAAACACTTAGCGCAGATAGACGACCAGTGGTCAAACACTCAGCGCAGATAGACGACCAGTGGTCAAACACTCCGCCTAGATAGACGACCAGTGGTCAAGCACTCCGCCTAGATAGACGACCAGTGGTCAAACACTTAGCGCAGATAGACGACCAGTGGTCAAACACTTAGCTCAGATAGACGACCATTGGTCAATCACTCCGCCTAGATAGAAGACCAGTGGTCAAACACTTAGCGCAGATAGACGACCATTGGTCAAACATTCCGCCTAGATAGACGACCAGTGGTCAAACACTTAGCGCAGATAGACGACCATTGGTCAAACACTCCGCCTAGATAGACGACCAGTGGTCAAACACTTAGCGCAGATAGACGACCATTGGTCAAACACTCCGCCTAGATAGACGACCAGTGGTCAAACACTTAGCGCAGATAGACGACCAGTGGTCAAACACTCCGCCTAGATAGACGACCAGTGGTCAAACACTCCGCCTAGATAGACGACCTGTGGTCAAACACTCCGCCTAGATAGACGACCAGTGGTCAAACACTTAGCGCAGATAGACGACCAGTGGTCAAACACTGCGCCTAGATAGACGACCAGTGGTCAAACACTTAGCGCAGATAGACGACCAGTGGTCAAACACTCCGCCTAGATAGACGACCAGTGGTCAAACACTTAGCGCAGATAGACGACCAGTGGTCAAACACTCCGCCTAGATAGACGACCAGTGGTCAAACACTGCGCCTAGATAGACGACCAGTGGTCAAACACTTAGCGCAGATAGACGACCAGTGGTCAAACACTCCGCCTAGATAGACGACCAGTGGTCAAACACTGCGCCTAGATAGACGACCAGTGGTCAAACACTGCGCCTAGATAGACGACCAGTGGTCAAACACTTAGCGCAGATAGACGACCAGTGGTCAAACACTGCGCCTAGATAGACGACCAGTGGTCAAACACTTAGCCCAGATAGACGGCCAGTGGTCAAACACTCCGCCTAGATAGACGACCAGTGGTCAAACACTTAGCCCAGATAGACGGCCAGTGGTCAAACACTTAGCGCAGATAGACGACCAGTGGTCAAACACTCCGCCTAGATAGACGACCAGTGGTCAAACACTCCGCCTAGATAGACGACCAGTGGTCAAACACTCCGCCCAGATAGACGACCAGTGGTCAAACACTTAGCGCAGATAGACGACCAGTGGTCAAACACTTAGCGCAGATAGACGGCCAGTGGTCAAACACTCCGCCCAGATAGACGACCAGTGGTCAAACACTTAGCGCAGATAGACGACCAGTGGTCAAACACTCCGCCTAGATAGACGACCAGTGGTCAAACACTCCGCCTAGATAGACGACCAGTGGTCAAACACTTAGCCCAGATAGACGGCCAGTGGTCAAACACTTAGCGCAGATAGACGACCAGTGGTCAAACACTCCGCCTAGATAGACGACCAGTGGTCAAACACTCCGCCTAGATAGACGACCAGTGGTCAAACACTCCGCCCAGATAGACGACCAGTGGTCAAACACTTAGCGCAGATAGACGACCAGTGGTCAAACACTTAGCGCAGATAGACGACCAGTGGTCAAACACTTAGCGCAGATAGACGACCAGTGGTCAAACACTTAGCGCTGATAGACGAACAGAACACTACAGTACTAGACCCAAACCGTTATTACCTGTTTAAAAAAGTATCAGAAGTTGTCCGTCCTATCCTCACTTCCACGTAATTTTGATCACTGGCGCTCACGATATAAATTTGAAACTCTGTTTTACTAGGGAAAAAAAACAACAACTATCATGATATAAACTTGAAACTCTGTTTTACTAGGGGAAAAAACAACTATCACGGTATAAACTTGAAACTCTATTTTACTAGGGGAAAAAACAACTACCACGATATAAACTTGAAACTCTGTTTTACTAGGGGAAAAAACAACTACCACGATATAAACTTGAAACTCTGTTTTACTAGGGGAAAAACAACTATCACGGTATAAACTTGAAGCTCTGTTTTACTAGGGGAAAAAACAACTATCACGATATAAACTTGAAACTCTGTTTTACTAGCGGAAAAAACAACTATCACGATATAAACTTGAAACTCTGTTTTACTAGGGGAAAAAACAACTATCACGATATAAAATTGAAACTATGTTTTACTAGGGGAAAAAACCAAACCTTTTGAATGCTTGAAAATGTAATAAAATAAAATAAACTGGTTCTCTACTGAATAGAATTAAAGTAGGTGATTATGTTAATTCACACCCGAATGGAGGTCGGATACTAGCAAGCTCGTGTTGGAGGAATTTTTATACTAATGTGCGATATTTTCTCTTAAACCACCTGGAAAAATAAAAGTATCTTAATAATCGGGTTTAAAATGACCAATAAATTGAGCTTATCTGATCGCAGTGTTCTATATGCAGATTTTTAAGTGCATATGACAAAAAAAAAAGTAATACTTGGCAGATAGAAAGGGTGCCGTAGGCATCGCGCAAAATACTAAATTCTCAGAGATTTAATGTTAAGGGCTGAAAATGGACCCACTTGACCGCTCCAGTTCACACGATAAAGGGACGTAACTGCATCTAGAATTTAAACTTTAAAGTAAAGAAGTGGTTGGGATTGGAATACTGTTTAACTTTTTATGTATTTTTAAAAAATCTAATTTAATTTTTTTTCAATATATATATATATATATATATATATATATATATATATATATATATATATATATATATATATATATATATATATATATATATATATATATATATATATATATATATATATATATATATATATATATAAATTTTTAAATCGCTTGAAGAACAGATAAGACGAGACATAATTCACATGATCACAATAGTAATGACAACCGAATATAAAAACAACTGCTATAAAGTCTTATTAAAAAATTCGTGCGACTCTGTTAATTAATAATTTCATTTTGGCTGCCCAACTTACGGAAATCCTGGCATATAGAAACGTCGGTGGAACATGGACACGGGTGTGGCCAGGATGGAATCGATCCAGGACCCCGTCGTCTGGTCAATGAACACAGCGGTTAAGCTGAACACGTGTGACGTCTGCTGGCTTTTGAAGACGACCGAGCACGGGTGCCGAATATGTCCTGTTAATCGTCTGCGTATATTTAATTAAGGCACTTAATTAATCAGAATGTAATTTCAAATAATGCAATAATGAAACTTATCGACTAATGCTAATTAAACCAAAAGAATATTTTTAATTCTAGTAAAGCTTTTTTTGTGTATTTTTTTCCGGTGTGTGGTTAATTAAGGCACTTAATTAATCAAAATGCGATTTCAAATAATGCAATAATGAAACTAATCAACTAATGCTAATAAAAAATAAAGAATATTTTTGATTATAGTAAAGCTTTTTTGTGTATTTTTTCAGTTTTGTAATTAAGCTGATTATTATCTTATTTATAGATTTGTAATATATACGACTTGTAACGGTGCATTGTATAACTAATGCTTCACAAGAGAATAGATGTAAATAGATACAGTAAAACAGCTAAGGGTTAAGGTTAATATTCGTGCTATATTTAATGTTAGATTAGGGCTTAGGTATGTTATCAATAGTCTATGCAAATCTAGAACGTATTCATTGTTTTCAATAATATAAATTACCAGAAAAAAAAGAATAATTAAAATCACAGTTATCATTATATTAGCTAGCTGTATAAAATAGCATATATTTTATAATATTTTTTAATACATTAATAAGTGTTTAATGTTGGAAGGTATTTCATTCAATACAATTATAGGCCGTAGACTCTGATTTTAGCATGCTTTTCTTTCTGGGATTGCTTCCATAGTCATTGTTCAACCAAGAACAAACTACAAGGCAGCAGTTGTTTGATTTTGGAGTTTTCTCTCCTAGAAGAGTTGCAGACCCCAGCTAACAAGCCTCATCTGCCCCAGGGTTCGAACTCGAGACTTTTTGGTTTAGCAACCATGAGCTTTACCGACTGAACCAAGCCCACCCTGACTTCGACTTACCAAAACTTATTTTAATAAATCCATACAACCTACTTACTTTTTTACTTCAACCGTATATACGGCTAACTCAAACTTGGCGACCGATATATTGGAATGAATTTTTTTAGTTCCCAACTCTTGAGATTCATACTTCAGCACTGTGATATCAACTTGGAAGGGCTCGAGATTAAAGGTCGACACATACAGGTCTACTTGAGAGTCTTTGTACCACGGTAGGCCAACAATGAAGTAGTCAGAGAACGTTATCAAGCCTGGATATACGATTCCAATTACACTCCAAAAATGTAGATTTAAATCTTTATATATATATATATATATATATATATATATATATATATATATATATATATATATATATATATATAATAAAAGTTTATATAATATATAGGCTATATATATATGCATATACATATATGCATATATATATATATATATATATATATATATATATATATATATATATATATATATATATATATATATATATATATATATATATATATGTATATATATACATATATATATACATACATATATACATATATATATACATATATATAATATATATATATATATATATATATATATATATATATATATATATATATATATATATATATATATATATATATGTTTATATATATGTTTATATATATATGTATATTTAGATATATAATATGTAAATGTACACATTATATATAAATACAGATTATATTGTACATTGTTTCATTTGTGATTTTTTTTTTTTTGTGATTTGTGAATATATTAAATGATTTTATTTTACCAGTGCGCAGAAATATTATTTTCGATGTCAACTTACAAGTGTGTAGAAAAACTATTTTAGATGTCAACTTACCAGTGCGTATTAAAACAGGTGATGTCAACTTACCAGTGCGTATTAAAACAGATGATATCAACTTACCAGTACGTATTAAAACAGATGATGTCAACTTACCAGTGCGTATTAAAACAGATGATGTCAACTTACCAGTGCGTATTAAAACAGGTGATGTCAACTTACCAGTGCGTATTAAAACAGATGATGTCAACTTACCAGTGCGTATTAAAACAGATGATATCAACTTATCAGTGCGCATTAAAACAGATGATGTCAACTTACCAGTGCGTATTAAAACAGATGATGTCAACTTACCAGTACGTATTAAAACAGATGATGTCAACTTACCAGTGCGTATTAAAACAGGTGATGTCAACTTACCAGTGCATATTAAAACAGATGATATCAACTTACCAGTGCGTATTAAAACAAATGATGTCAACTTACCAGTACGTATTAAAACAGATGATGTCAACTTACCAGTGCGTATTAAAACAGATGATGTCAACTTACCAGTGCGTATTAAAACAGGTGATGTCAACTTACCAGTGCGTATTAAAACAGATGATATCAACTTACCAGTGCGTATTAAACCAGATGATGTCAACTTACCAGTGCGTATTAAAACAGATGTTGTCAACTTACCTGTGCGTATTAAAACAGATGATGTCAACTTACCAGTGCGTATTAAAACAGATGATGTCAACTTATCAGTGCGTATTAAAACAGATGATGTCAACTTACCAGTGCGTATTAAAACAGATGATGTCAACTTACCAGTGCGTATTAAAACAGATGATGTCAACTTATCAGTGCGTATTAAATCAGATGATGTCAACTTACCAGTGCGTATTAAACCAGATGATGTCTACTTATCAGTGCGTATTAAATCAGATGATGTCAACTTACCAGTGCGTATTAAACCAGATGATGTCAACTTATCAGTGCGTATTAAACCAGATGATGTCAACTTACCAGTGCGTAGTAAACCAGATGATGTCAACTTATCAGTGCGTATTAAAACAGATGATGTCAACTCACCAGTGCGTAGTAAACCAGATGATGTCAACTCACCAGTGCGTAGTAAACCAGATGATGTCAACTTATCAGTGCGTATTAAATCAGATGATGTCAACTCACCAGTGCGTAGTAAACCAGATGATGTCAACTCACCAGTGCGTAGTAAACCAGATGATGTCAACTTATCAGTGCGTATTAAATCAGATGATGTCAACTTACCAGTGCGTATTAAAACAGATGTTGTCAACTTACCTGTGCGTATTAAAACAGATGATGTCAACTTACCAGTGCGTATTAAAACAGATGATGTCAACTTATCAGTGCGTATTAAAACAGATGATGTCAACTTACCAGTGCGTATTAAAACAGATGATGTCAACTTACCAGTGCGTATTAAAACAGATGATGTCAACTTATCAGTGCGTATTAAATCAGATGATGTCAACTTACCAGTGCGTATTAAACCAGATGATGTCTACTTATCAGTGCGTATTAAATCAGATGATGTCAACTTACCAGTGCGTATTAAACCAGATGATGTCAACTTATCAGTGCGTATTAAACCAGATGATGTCAACTTACCAGTGCGTATTAAACCAGATGATGTCAACTTATCAGTGCGTATTAAAACAGATGATGTCAACTCACCAGTGCGTAGTAAACCAGATGATGTCAACTCACCAGTGCGTAGTAAACCAGATGATGTCAACTCACCAGTGCGTAGTAAACCAGATGATGTCAACTTATCAGTGCGTATTAAATCAGATGATGTCAACTCACCAGTGCGTAGTAAACCAGATGATGTCAACTCACCAGTGCGTAGTAAACCAGATGATGTCAACTTATCAGTGCGTATTAAATCAGATGATGTCAACTTACCAGTGCGTATTAAAACAGATGTTGTCAACTTACCTGTGCGTATTAAAACAGATGATGTCAACTTACCAGTGCGTATTAAAACAGATGATGTCAACTTATCAGTGCGTATTAAAACAGATGATGTCAACTTACCAGTGCGTATTAAAACAGATGATGTCAACTTACCAGTGCGTATTAAAACAGATGATGTCAACTTATCAGTGCGTATTAAATCAGATGATGTCAACTTACCAGTGCGTATTAAACCAGATGATGTCTACTTATCAGTGCGTATTAAATCAGATGATGTCAACTTACCAGTGCGTATTAAAACAGATGATGTCAACTTATCAGTGCGTATTAAACCAGATGATGTCAACTTATCAGTGCGTATTAAAACAGATGATGTCAACTTATCAGTGCGTATTAAATCAGATGATGTCAACTTACCAGTGCGTATTAAACCAGATGATGTCTACTTATCAGTGCGTATTAAATCAGATGATGTCAACTTACCAGTGCGTATTAAAACAGATGATGTCTACTTATCAGTGCGTATTAAATCAGATGATGTCAACTTACCAGTGCGTATTAAATCAGATGATGTTGGATGAAAGATCAGTGCAAGAAAAATTGGGAGAGTGACAGACATCTTCTGTAACATGTTGAGACGTTCATTAGGATGGTCTCTCTGTATAATATGGTCTCACTGTAGTATACGTCCCTATGTATAATATGGTCTCATTGTAATATAAGGTCTCTCTGTATAATATGGTCTCACTGTAATATAATGTCTCTATGTATACTATGGTATAGCTGTAATATCAGGTCTCTATGTATAATATGGTCTTTTATTATCATCGGATATGATCTCTCTATATCATATGGTCTCTGTATAATATGGTCTCAATGTAATATATGGTATTTCTGTATAATTTGATATGTTTTCTCTGTATCATATGGTCTCTCTGTATCATACGGTCTCTCTGTATCATATGGTCTCTATGTATCGTATGATCTATCTGTATCATATTGTCCATCTTTATCATATGGTCCATCTGTATCATATGGTCTCTCTGTATCATAAGGTCTCTCAGTATCATATGATCTCTCTGTATCGTATGGTCTCTCTGTATCATAAATGGTCCATCTGTATCATATGGTCTCTATGTATCATAATGTCTCTCTGTATCTTTTGATATGGTCTCTCTGTATCATTTAATATGGTCTTTCTCTCTCTTTATCATATTGTATTGTCTCTCTGTTTGTGAGCGTGATTAGCTGCCATTTAGATCTAGAATCTCGATCTAGATTTTACACTAAATTCTAGATCTAGAATCTAGATCTAAATCAAGTATAAACAAGTAGAACCTGAATGTAGAGGCTAAAATAATTGTTACAGAAGGTTGTTACTAAATATTAGTTATTTTTAATACATACTGCATACTGAGCATAATATATGAAATAAATTCATATCGTATTATTTTGGCCTGAAAATCCAACCTTCTAAAAATATATCTAAAATCGCAAAACTTTAAATCTTTAAAGTCCTACTGCTTGTTTATAAATAACGCCGTCATTTTGGCGCTTTGCGTTCACTAGTGAAATGAAAGAGTGCAGAAAAAAATGTGAAGCTAAACAATCTCTTTCGTTAAAATTAATGATCAAATAATAAATTACTTAAATTTTTACTGTCTTGAATACGGAGTATAGAGGAAATATTCACTGAAGTCTTTGGGTCGTAAATAACTAACCTTCCTTGAAAAGTATTATACGTTCGTCTATTGTAAAGGGACACATCAACATATAATTACGAGATAAATTATACATACGTATTATATAGACCTAGATCTACATACATTTTCTAGCTTCCTATGGTTATAAATTAACTAGCTGCATCCCGTGCTCCGCCACGGTAAATCTTTTTTAAATGTACCAACTTTGGAACAGAACAAAACAAACAAAAACATAACACAAACACAAACAAAACACAACCACAACACAACACAACCACAACCACAACACAACAAACAAAAACATAACACAAACACAAACAAAACACAACACAACACAACCACAACCACAACACAACCACAACAACAAACACAACCACAACACAACCACAACATAACCACAACACAACACAACCACAACACAACACAACCACAACACAACCACAATACAACAAAACAAACAAAAACATAACACAAACACAAACAAAACACCATCACAACACAACACAACCACAATCACAACACAACCACAACAACACAACACAACCACAACACAACCACAACACAGCCACAACCACAACACAACCACAACACAACCACAACACAACACAACCACAACACAACCACAACAATAGAATCACCAACGAACAACACGCTTTTCTTAGGCATCCGCGCCCAGAGAGAGCCTTTCCAGCATTCTCTATACTATAATTCTAAATTTTCACCATCTGTTAACACCGAAGAACAAAAACAAAAAAATAGTGATTTTGAGAGATCATAGACTAATTAGAAAATA